CGCCGCTCGGCTGGGTAGGCTGTGCCGCAGGACACCTCGCCCGCCCAGTGTCCGCGAGCGGCGGCGGCGGCCCAGCTCCGTGGGCGGCGGCGGCCCCGCTCGGCTGCGGCGGCGGCCCGGCATCGCCGACGGCTGCCGCCAGGGGCGCCACCGTCGACGAATCAGTCATCGTAGATGGCGTCACCTCCCGAGCTGCTTCTGGAATCTGGATCCTGACACTGGTCAGGATCCCGCCAATACCTTCACCGGATTGGACGGAACCCTTCCGATGATTGCCGCCAGTGCCCTGACACCGACTGTGCGGCGGGCCTGTGCACCCTGTGCCGGGAGGAGGCCGACACGCCCCGGCACTTCTTCTTCCGGTGCCCGGCCCTTATGGGCTGGCGTCTCCGGAGGTACGGGACGATTTTCCCGAACCCGGAAGACGTCCGCGACGACGGAGAGGTGGCGGCCCTGGCGGCCGCCGTGAGGGACCTCCAGAGCCGCACGGCTACACCGCGGTGACGCGGCTGGAGGGAACACACAACAACAACAACAGCTGCTTCTGGTCTCACGTCCGGAATCTGCGCAGGGAAGTTGGCTGGCAAAATCCCCAGGGCGACTGAATCAAACCAACTTATGAGCGTCCCCGTCAGTCCGCTGATGACGCAGACGGTGACGTCGACGAAGCGGTCACCCAGCCGCAGCGTCGCGCTGAACGCCCCGAGACAGTCGAGCGGACGGCGTCCAACGGCGGTGAATTTGGCTCGGTGGTCGGTCTGTAGGCGGGAGAGGGCGATGCCGAGCGACCGAGCCACAGCGTCACCCATGACCGTCGCCTCGGCTCCCGTGTCCGGCGTGCACTCCAGCGTGCTGCTCCCGGTCTGATGGATCAGCTGGACATTGACCGTGGGCGCCGGGCGGGTGCAGACTCCGCTGATATGGATGTCAGCGATGACCTGCTTAATGTCGCGTCCGTACTGCGCTCGCTGGCTGCTGCGCGCCGCCGGCGAGGCCCGGCGCGACGACGGCTGCCGGGGCAGCGACGGCGTGGTCCGAAGCCCCATCTGTGGCGCTGACTCCCTGGCGCCAGACTGTCGCAAAATGTCCCAATTCGCCGCATGCCAGTGCTGCCAGATTTGGAGGATTTCCGCAAATCTGGAGGATTTTGAACTCTATTTGCGGACAAATTTCGTTTTTGGAGGATTGTTGATTCTGGAGGAAAATCTGGAGGATTTGTCGCCCGATTATTATACTCAATTTCATGGAAAAATATAATACATTCAAGACTCAAAAGGCATATTTCTGCCCAGCGTCACCCTACCCGTTAGGATATACCTATCTTCGCCCTTTATCACCGTGAGACTGGAATGTCTCAGTCTGTAGCTAAATCTAGTATCTACGAATAACATGGTGACTATTTGTTCCTCCTACTTCGTGTACGATTGTACCGTATGTTGTACCGCCGCCCCTCTCGGCTCATTGAGACGTGTCGGCTCACTCGCACCGACAGAGGGTTGGGGGAGTGAGGAGAGAGGGAGAGAGCCGTGATTCGCGCGTGTGTGCGCACCGAGCTGAACCGCGACCAAGTGAGTCGTGATCGGCGTGCGTGTTGTTTTGCGTGTTTTTAAAAGAGCCCTCAGTGTCTGGCTTTATTTGTATGTGCCCAGATGTTCGGCCACCGTGAGAGCGTTTCTCGTCATTGAATCGGAGCCCGGTTGTAACTTGTATGTACACTTGTGAAAACCGGCCTCCGACTGATAAGGGGGTGTGCGGGGCTGCCGCATATACCTTAGCGGTCGCATTTGTAGTTCCCACGCAATACAGAGAGGGCAGCACCAGTCCCGCCGGGGGCCCGTGCTGAGAGCCGTTGGCCGGATGCCAATAAACAGTCTGCTCCGACCTACGGACGCGTGTGCATGTGTGAGGGTGCCGCGCGTGTCGAGTGCAGTACGGGTCCGGCCATGACCGACGAGGGGTCTGGCCGAGACCCGAACACATCGCAGCACGCGGGAAGGAGACTGTGCTGCCGGCAGAATCTTGCCACCAGGCGGCGACCTCTGCTTGCAGCGCATCGGGCAGCGGCTCGTCCCACGTCAGCTCCACCGACCAGGTCCGCTGGAACAGGGCCTTCCCTCTGACCAGCCACGGGGTGAGCAGGCCCAACGGGTCAAACGGCTTTGCCACTGCGGACAGAAGCTCACTCCTGGTGCGAGGACACAACATCTCAGGCACGGTCACAGCGAGTCGGTCAGTCTCGGTGTTCCACGCCAGACCCAACACTTTTGAGTCCTCGGAGGACACATCACCTGTGGTGCGGGTCTTGTGCAGCTCCATCCTGGCCTTGCTGAAGACGCTGCTGACTTCCTTCATCCCAGCAGCCGCCTCTTCTCTGGTGCCGAACGTCGGGCACAGGTCGTCCATGTAGGAGACAAGGCACTGGCGGACATGGCAGCACACAGTGCGCAACAGCATGTACGGCGAACAGGATACGCCGAACGGGACCCTCTGAAAGCGCAGGTGGCGGTCTCCCCACAGGAACTGCACGTAGCGCCTGTCCTCCTCCTTCAGGACGATCTGGTGGAAGGTGGCTCGAATGTCTGCCTGACAACCAACAGTGTGAACGTTTATGTTCGACCCGTGAGTGCGAGCTGGGTACGCCTCTGCCATCGGAGCGGCGCGGGGCGCGGTCGTGGCCGGAGTCAGCTGTTACAAGGGGTGTGGGTCACGGGCCAAGACCAAATACACAGATGGGTATCGACTCTCGGTGTGTGTGGACCGCGGTCGTACGTGCGGCGTTCAAGGAAGTTTCACATGGTGGCAGCGTGGTTGTGAACCCGGCATGGCTGGTGGTAGTGACCAGGACTCGGACAAGTCGGGCGACGTGAAGCCCGGTGCGACTCCACCCTCGGTATCGCGCGCGGCGGCGGCTTTGAGCGTCAGCATCGCGGATTTTCCGAGCTATGATGGCTCTGTGTCACCGGAGGACTTTTTGGCCCAGTGCCGTCGTTTGGCTGGGCTCGGTGACATCTCTCGTGACTCGCTGGCGTCCATCGTTGCTGCGCGATGCACGGGACGCGCCCTCTCCGTCGTCAACGAGTTGGAGCAGCGCCTCGGGCGACTCTCGATGGACCAGCTGGAGGCGTCACTAACGTCACATTTCTCGGCGTTACCGACTGCTGCACAAGCGGCGATGCAGTTATCCCGTCTGGTGAAGGGTGATCTGAAGGCTCGAGACTACGCCCAGCAGGTACGGCTCTTGGTGCGAGGAGCGTGCCCCGAGTTTTTCACGAAGGACGGAACAGTGAAGAACATCTGTACTCCGGCCTACAATGCGGCGCTATTCAGACATTTTCTGGTTGGTCTGAGCGCCGAAGAGGCCTCTCTGATCTCCCGTCTCAAGGTTACGACGTTCGAGGCGGGGATAGACGAGCTGGTTCGGGAGGAGTCTCTGCCAAAACCTACCGTGGCAGCACCGGAGCCCTTATGGACACCTACACGCGCAGCGGATCGTGTGCACTGGGCGTCACCCATACGGCGCGCATCTCGGGACCAACCTGACTTCGACGACAGGGATGAAGGAACCGCCCCAGGGATCTACTACGATCGTCAGGGTTCTCCGCGGCCTAGCCGACGTTTCTCGGAGCAACATCGAAGCAGCGGCACCATCCGGAGCCGGGGGAGCATCTCATGTTCTCCGCGGCGCTCTGCCTCCCCCTCTGTGCGGTGGCGGCGCGCGCGCTCTCCCGGGCGGCCGGGGCCGCGCGCTGGCGCGGCAGCTGGCGGCGGGCGGCCGCCGCCTGCTGACCCGCGCGGGGCCGGGGCAGCGGCGGCGCCAGGGACGGCCGAGGAGGAGGATCACGACAGACGACCCGCCTGCTGGTCGTGCGGTGGAAGAGGGCATCTCAAGCGGCACTGCCCAAACGGGTGGCTGGCGGACGGACGATAAAGTCACTCCCAATCGTGTCATGTACACTGAACGGCTTCCAGGTGAGCGATTGTTTAGTTGATTCAGGCAGTCAGCTTACTTTGATTGATTCCAAAGTGTATGGCACCATTGCACCAAATGGGGAGTTGGAAGAGCCTGTCCGCCTCATGTCAGCGTCAAGGCATAATTTAAATGTGATTGGTATATGTCGTTTGTTTGTTGAAGTCCAAGGATTCCCACCGTGCGAATGGAAATGTTGCGTCGTTGAAAATCTCACTCATGATTTCATTGTGGGTTTTGACTTTTTGCAGGCCAATAACGCAGTCATTGATTTTTCACCCCAGCAGCAGGGGCCTAAAGTAAAGTTAAGGATATGCAAGGCTGTATCAGTTCCAGCACGCACTGCTATGTGTATTACTGCCAAAAATCGATCAAAACTTATCTACTGATCATGCGTATTTATTAATGGGACAGTGCTCAGACCATGTTGAAATCCAAGATGCAATTTTTCAACCCTTTTCAGAGAAAGAAATCCCTGTCTACATTCGTAACAGGACCGATCAACTTGTTACCTTTCATAGACGTAGTGTGATTGGATTTATTGAAAAGCTCGAGGGTGATGTGAACTGTTTTTCGGTCGATGCTTCCGGTGCTGACTCGTCCGCTCCGTGTGAACCAGTGTCTGTGAATGTTGTGTCTGCGGCAGATGAAACGGTACCTGGTGCGCCGGCTACGCAGGGAGACAGTCGGCACTCGGTGTGCGCAGATGACAGTCGCTTTTTGGGGGCTAATACTGACGAGGTGTTAGCAGAGTTCAGCGTAGGAGATCAGATAGGCGCGTCACATCGGGACAAATTGGCTTCCTTGCTGAGATCTCACTCTGAAGTTTTCTCGCGGGGCTACGCCGACATCGGCTCTTACAAGGGAGATGTTACAAAGTATCATATCATTTACATATTCGCAATAATGTCAGACCTCCATTAATCAGGCCAACATACATGTACTCACGTGCTTTACTTTTACATTCAAAATTTAGTAAAATCAGTGTGTGAATAAAATGCAACAAAGAAACATGGATTATTAAGTCATAACAAAATGGCGACAAGGACGAGATGAATTTAACGTTATAAAGTAACGTAAACTTAGAGCGCCGATTAACGTAACGTTAACGCTACTAAAAGTAGGTAACGTAACGGAAATTAAAATGGCATTAAGTGTAGATGCCCCTCAGAAATATAGGGAGGGAGAAGACTTTGACATGTGGATAGATTCCTTTGAAATCTATTTATGTGCGCTTGGGATCGAGGAACCAAAACGGAAAAGAGCTTTGATGCTACATCTACTTGGAACCGACATACAGCAGCGGCTGAAAGACATCGACACGGTCTACGAAAATAATTTAGAGGGAACCGATGAGTACGAGCGTACCAAGCAGCAGCTGCGATCGCTGTTAAAGCCACAGGTCCGAACGATTTACGAGAGAAATATCTTTCATAGCATGAACATGACTGATAACGACGAGAACGTCCGAGATTTTGTTGTGCGTCTGAGAAAGCAAGCAGATAAATGCAATTTCTCGAGGGAACAGAGAGACGAAATGATCCGGGATATACTCATAGCAAGATGTCCCCATCAGACTTTGCAAGTTCGTCTGCTCGAAGCCCATAAACTGACTACAGAAGACGCGGTAAAAATCTGGGAGTCCTATCTCCAAGTACGGACCCAATGCCAAAAACTTCAAGAGAAGAACGGCAAAGAGAAGGACCCCAGTCCAGAAACTGAGCAGTCTGAGCCACAAAACGAAAACGTCAACAGAGTTCGACAGAAATATCGAGCTCCATCCAAGCCATTCAACGGACAGGGACAGCGAACTTCCGCCGGAAGCGGAATTCCTGCCTGCACTCGGTGCGGACGAAGAGGGCATAATTCAAACGCCTGTACCGCAACGAAGGGTCAGACCTGTCACAAGTGCGGCGGCAAAAATCATTTTGCCAGGGCGTGCTGGTCTACTCAGACACGGCAGCCACAGACAACTCTGGAACCTAGAAGACGGGTAAACCACCTACAAGAAGAAAGCGTTGAACAAGGTGAAGATGAGCTGGTTTTCTCCACCAGACCGAAGAAGCCCATCCAAGAAAAGCTGAAACAGGGACTGACTGAAATATTGATCGAAAATACCAAAATCCAAGTTCTGGTCGACACTGGCGCGTCCGTCGATATTATCACCCGAAAAGATTTCAAGAAGCTGAAAGGTGTAAAGGCGACAAAAACAAGCAGACGGCTTCTGCCCTACGGCACCAAAGAAGCACTGAAGCTCGATGGAGAATTCCTGGCACGAAGCCAAGTCGGAGGAAAGGAAGCACTCAGCTGCTGGATCATTGCGGCGCACGGAGATGTGTCCTTGCTAAGCGGAACCACCGCGGAGCTCCTGGGACTTGTGATGCGCACGGATACGGTGAATCAACTGGAAACAGACGGCGGTTCCCGGCTGACACTCAAGAAAGTGTTAGCAGACAACCAGGAAGTGTTCAAAGACGAGCTTGGACAGATGGCCGATCTGACAGCGAAGCTGAAGCTCAAAGATGACGCCGAGCCAGTCTTTAGGAAAGTAAGACCGGTTCCGTACGCCCTTCAAGACGCCGTCGATGAAGAGCTTAAAAAGTGGGAGAAGATGGGCATTGCTGAGCGGATTGAATATTCCGACTGGGCTACGCCGCTAGTCGTTGTCCCAAAACCCGGCGGTGGAGTGAGGCTGTGTGGAGACTATAAACACACTGTCAATAAGCAGCTCGACGTACCACAGCAGCCGATGCCCAACCTGGAAGATATGCTACCAAAACTGGCTGGAATGAAGTATTTCAGCAAGCTCGACCTCAGCACCGCATATCTGCAAATGAAGATGGATGAAGAGAGTCAAAAGTTCACGGTGCTGAACACACCGCGTGGACTGTTAAAAATGAAACGACTCCCCTATGGAATATCCTCGGCTCCTGCTACATTTCAGAGGGCCATGGAGAAAATTTTGGAAAACTCACCAGGAACAATGTGTTTCCTGGATGATGTTCTGGTGGCTGGAGCTACGAAGGAAGAGGCACTCAAGAGGCTGGACCAGACTCTGCAAAGACTGAGAAGCTGGAAGCTGGTCTTGAAGCAGGCCAAATGCAAGTTCCTGCTGTCGTCGGTCCAGTACATAGGAGTGGAGATCAGCGCTGCGGGAGTCCAAACGGTGAAAGAAAAGATCGACCCGGTGTTACATGCACCGCCACCGCGAGACACAAGCGAATTGAGAAGTTTTCTCGGAGCAGTCACATTCTATGCAAGATTTATACCGGACATGTCGTCAGTGGCTGCGCCGCTATACAAGCTTCTACAGAAGAGAGAAAAGTGGCGATGGACAGCTACAGAAGAGCAGGGATTTAGCGAGCTCAAGAAGAGACTTGCTTCAGCACCAGTACTGGCACATTATGACGGATGCCGGCCCGTAAGACTCATTACGGACGCTAGCCCGCACGGCGTAGGAGCCGTGTTGATGCAGGTTGGAACAGACGGGACGGAGCGACCGGTCCGTTTCGCCTCCAGAAGCCTCACCAAAGCCGAGAAAGCCTACTCCCAGTTCGATCGAGAAGGACTAGCAGTCATCTTTGGAGTAACCCGCTTCAAGCAGTACCTGTGGGGCAGAAGATTTACTTTAGTCACCGACAACAAGGCACTAAGCTCGATATTCGGGCCCAAATCAGAGGTACCAGCCCTAGCCACAGCGCGAATGCATCGATGGGCGCTGCTGTTAGCGGCATACAGCTACGAAGTTGAGCACTGGAAGGCAGAGGAAATACCCATGGCAGATTTTCTGTCCCGTCTTCCTTACGACAAGCCAACCGGAACCCGAAACGGCCCAGATGAAGCCACTGTATGTTTTCTCGAGCAGATAGAAAACATGCCGCCACTCAGCGCCAGAGACCTGCAGCGTGAAACCAACAGAGATCCAGTCCTGTCTGAAGTTGCAGAGCATTTACACAAGGGATGGCCAAACACTGAGTCGTCCTACAGCAGGGAAGCGCAGCCCTATGCAAACAAAAGAGCGCAGTTGTCCCTCAACAATGGCTGTATCCTGTGGGGCAGCAGAGCCGTGATACCAAGCCGCCTCCGAAAAGCAGTGCTGGCTGAGCTGCATGAGAGTCACCCAGGGGCCACAAAGATGAAGATGCTGGCTCGCAGTTATGTCTGGTGGCCGAATATTGACCGTGACATTGAAGAAATGGTTAAGTCCTGTTCAGGATGCCAGTCCGTACAGAACGAGCACCCAGCAGTGTTTCTCCATCCATGGGAACGCACATCGAGACCTTGGGATCGAGTTCATCTGGATTTTGCAGGGCCATTCAGAGGAAGTTACTTCTTGGTGGTTGTAGACAGCCATTCCAAGTGGCCAGAAGTTATAATGATGAAGGACATCACAACTCAGAGTACGATCACCGAACTGGCAAAGATATTCGCCAGATGGGGAAATCCAGTTCAGTTGGTGACAGATAATGGCACCCAGCTAACCTCAAAAGACTTTGAAGATTTCCTGACAAAACAAGGAGTCAAACACATCAGAGTATCGCCATACCGACCGCAAAGCAATGGATTGGCTGAGCGTCTGGTGCAAACGGTAAAGAACAGCCTGAAGGCTCACCTGAGCGGAGGGGACCAGCGTCCACTTGACCTTCAGCTGGCCTCTTTTCTCCTGCAGTACCGCAATACTCCTCACACCACAACAGGGGTGGCACCAGCAGAGGCCATGACCGGAAGAAAGATGAGGACGAGGCTGGACTTGCTGAAGCCCCGCACTGAAGAAAAGGTCATGAATGCCCAAGCTAGCCAGATGCTACGTCACAGCCAAAGACTACCCGAGTATGAAGCTGGAGATGAAGTTCTGGTCAGGAACTACGCAGGAGGACAAAAATGGAAAAAGGGAAAGGTGATAGGCCGAACCGGTCCAGTGTCTTACCAAGTCACAGTGGAAGGGCTGGTCTGGTCAAGGCATGCGGGACAGCTCCTACTCCTGCCCTCCAAGGACTCGAAGAAGGAGCAAGATTGCGGTGACAAGTCAAAACATCGGAGCATGAGCAAACATCTTGACTTATGTCCACCGTCTCCGCAAGCATCCTCAAGTCTGCCTAATCCCAGAGCAGATGAAATTGCATTGGAGGAACAACAAGGATCCTCAGATCCTCCAGGAATCCCCGAAACACAAGACACTAGAGGCCAGAGCAGCCCTCACCCATCCGCAAAACAGCTGAAGCAGCCAGAAGGTGTACCGCCACAACCGCCACCTGCTACCCAAGCTTCTCCAAAGGCGGTGACCAGGGCAGGGAGGACCTGTCGTCAACCATGGTGGCTCAAGGACTTTGTTATGTCTTAGTACTACTGAGCAGGAAGTGCAGTTCATTTTTTTTAAGGGTGCGAGAGTGTTACAAAGTATCATATCATTTACATATTCGCAATAATGTCAGACCTCCATTAATCAGGCCAACATACATGTACTCACGTGCTTTACTTTTACATTCAAAATTTAGTAAAATCAGTGTGTGAATAAAATGCAACAAAGAAACATGGATTATTAAGTCATAACAGGAGAGAAAGTGGATCTGGAGCCTGGGACTCGTCCCCAATTTTCCCGACCATACCCGGTTCCGTGGGCGCGGGAATCTCAGTTGAAAGAACAGTTAGACGAGTTACAGGGCTGTGGAATCATTGAGCAGGGTCCTCCGTGCGAGTGGAACTCACCGATTCTGCTCATCGCTAAACCGAACAAGGGTGGAAGATCACCTAAGGAGTATAGAATTGTTCAAGATTTACGTTGTGTTAACAAACGTTTGTTGGGGAAGAAGTTTGTGTTTCCTTCGATCGATGAGTTTTTTGTTTTCGCTGCATGGGTGGCGTGTGGCGAGCTCGCTCGACATTAAGCACGCGTTCTGGAACTTGCACCTCACTGAGAGCTCGAGCAAAATCTGTGCCTTTCACGCTTTAGGCAAAACATGGTACCCAAAACAGGTACCATGGAATCATTGAGATCTATAACGCAGATCTATAACGCATTGGAATGAGCAGACGTGTTTAGCAGTGCTCTAGTTTACTGCCTATTTTGGCGTAATGGACCCGCATAATGACTTTGAGATAAGCATGAAACGAATCTTAATTTAACGTAGAATATTTTGGTGGTCTTTGCAGTTGAGTTGAATGGTGAAATAATTGAATTATAGGCTTTAAAAAAATGACTATTTTGACCCAGTTTTGAAATTTTAGACTCACCACCGCGTTAGTTCTGCTCTAGATTTTTAGTAGTAAGTCTCGTGCTAGTTCTGAAGAGAGATCCTTATAGCCAATAATGTCAGACTCTGACACCTCGGTTAATGGCTACGATCAAACAGTGGGAGAATGGGTTGTGGCGAAAAAGACCAAACGGGGCAGGATAAGCAAGGCGAAAATCGTAGCATCAACGATTACGGACGCTGAAGAAACTGTACCGAAGAGCATTTTTTGTCCTACCTCTCCTCTCACCAATCAGCCTACCGCGACCCCCGAACAGCTGACGAGTGCGACTAACTCTACGCATACCGGCGAGAATGACAACAAAGCATCCCACGACAGGGTGGCGACGAGCGCGAGGGCGCCGACCCTGGACCAGCTGATCCCCACTAGTGCGACGTCAGCCGACAAGAAACGTCTAATCGCTGAGTCGGATTGCATTTTCAGTGGGCGCTACGACCCAGCTGCGGTGTGCTGTATCATGGCATCCATGGACGAACCCGACCTGAGAGAGCTCCGAGAACTGCTGCATGCTGCGCTGTCTTCGGTCATCCCGGCTGTCGCCGGCCGTCCTCTCTGCCGCCGTGTTACCGGCAACTTGGCTGGCCTAGCGGATGACTGCTGGACCTTGGGCTACTCGGCGGCTCAAGGTATGCTGACACAGCGTGCTAATGCTGCCACTCTGAAGCCAGCGGGTCGCAATCCCCTGCCACCCCCCGGTCCCACCCGGAGCGCGCCCTCGGACTCTGCTATGTCGTGCCCCAGCGCGATAACTTCGTCACTCGAGGCGATCATATCCACCCAGCTGCGAATGGAGAATGAAATTAGGGAGCTTCACGCTCGTCAAGCTACCCAGGATGCTTACAAAACTCGTCTGAAACAGCTGGAACTGGAAATAACTGGTCTCCGCAGAGAATGTGCTGCTAGAGATGACACGATTGATCAGTTGAAGGTCCTTGTAGAGGGGCTGCTAGCCCGTGAGGGCCCACAGCCACGCCGGCCAGTCACCCCTGGATTACAGGTGCAGCCGGGGCGACATGACAGCGATGCGAGGTCCGCTACTAATGATGCTACTGCTGTAACTGAAGAGGCTCACTCTGACCGCACCGCCGCCCGCGAGATTGCCGCCAACTTGGATCTGCGTGCCCTGGGTGAGGCGATCGCTGGTGCCCTGCATTGGCGGGTCGGCGATTCAGACAGTGAGCCAGAGCAGCAGAACACGCATACCGTGTCTGAGCGTAGGACAGCGCAGCCCGCGAACCACAGTCAAGCAGCAGTGCCGACTGCGGCACCGACCAGCGACACGTCTGCCGCGGCTCCAGGCGGCCCGACACGGCGACAGAGCATGGTGACCGGCTCTGGTCCCCCATCGGCTCTGATTCAGGAGCCGCCTCGTCAAGAATCTCGGAAGGAGAAGTTCATCCTGGAGGGCTTCCGTGTGGATGTTGCTGACAGTGACGTGCGGAGTCTGGTCTGGACGGTTGTTCGCAATCTCCATGATTTCCAAAGGGTGTCACGCCGCGGTCCTGCTGCCTCTGTAAGCAAGGCGTTCAAGATTGAGGTTGATGCTGAGGACACCGATCGTATATTGGACCCGTCCAGCTGGCCGACTGGCCTGGTTGTGCGCCTTTTACCTCAGCCTGTGAACACTGGGCGCCGAGGACAGCGTTTTCGCCGTCCTGCGGCCTCATCTGGAAGATCACAGACGACCCGGAGTGCTGCAAAAAGAACTGAACATGGCAATGCTAACTGGCAGGCGACGGCCCCGCGCCGTTACAGTGATGTGGTCAGAGGCATTGAACACTGTGACACTGCCTGGACGGCGGCCGCCCAACGCCGGGACGAAGATGAGACCCGCCGGGAAGCAGTCACCTCACAGCGCTCCAGAGCCCCGAACAGAGACTGCACTCACGGCGTCGGTACATCTAGCGCGGTCGACGCTGTCGGCGGCGACGGAAGTAACGCCACACATGATGACGGTGGCTGGGAAGAGGAAAGGCCGCGCCGTTATGGACCATTCGTGCCAGCTAGATACCATGGACACCAAGATGACAATGCATGGGTGTCAACCTATCAGCGCCGTGATGGAGACGGACACTGGGCAACAGCCGCCTCTCACCGCCCAGGCGCCCCTAGTCGAGGCAGCGAACAGGACGCCGGCGCTCCCTGGGTTCCAGCTGCCTCCCGTCACGTTACAGGAGGCGCCACACACGGTGGCAACGGCTGGAGGGCGACTGCTTCGCAATGTGACGGATCCGGATACCGTGGGTGGCCCTATCAGCGCGCACGAGAGGCCACCTCCTGGGAATAGCGCCCAGATGGCTACTCCTGGGGGCCATCCCTGTCCTGCTGCCACCGCTGTGAAGCATGACAGAGCGGAGTGCCGTAATTCTGTGGACGCAAAAGTAACTCTGAACATGAGCCTCACTCTGGGCACTTATAACTGCGAAGGATTTCTCGCAGGAGCGCAGTATATCGCCGACTGTCTAATACCTGAATGTGATATCTTATTTTTATGCGAAACCTGGCTAGCCCGTGCCCAGGGTGCTTATCTGGAGCATGCACTCTCCTCTCTAAGCTCCGAAGAATTTCAGGTATTTCAAGAATTCGCCATGGAACTACCACCAGGGACTGGAGATGGCAGACCCCACGGTGGCGTGGCTTTTGTTTGCCGCCGTCAAGTGGGGCGCACATTTCGCGCTGTAGAGTGTAATGATTCTCGTATCTGTGGAGTTACGATTGTGGAGCTGAGCCGTCCTCTTATAACGATAATTGGCTGCTACATGCCGTACTGGAATTCATCTGCCGTAAATTTTGAAGAGTACACAATCCTGACGGGGAAGCTTGATGCATTATTCTCTTCGCTAAGACCCTCAGCTCCAGTGGTGCTTGTAGGCGATTTTAACTGTGCTCTGCCGCCACTGTCACCAGAACTGCGCCCACCGGGCTGGCACCGTCTTCGGGGTTTCTCTCCGCTGAGTCTTCTAATGCAAGACTTATTGGACGACCACGGACTGACAGTCGCCGAGTTCCGGTTCTCGCAACCAGTGGCGTACACCTATGCTCGAGCTGACGGCCAATCGCACATCGATCACATCGCTGTACCGCAATGTCTGGTGCCTCAAGTTCATGATTGTCGCATCGTAGTCCCCTGTGTGGACAACCTGAGCCCACATCTTCCGGTCCTTTGCAGCGTGGTGCTGCCGTCTGCCTCAGCTGGCACCAGTCTCGATGTCTCCAGCCCTCCACTGAATATGGGTTCCATCCATTCAGAAGTACTATAGTTCGTTTTTTTTAAGTTTGACCCTCACTGAAAACGTCTTTTTGAACATAGCACGAGAATTGCTAGCTGAATTACTGAGAAAACTGGTTGGCGCACACTGATTTAACCAGATTTCACAGACGATCAATTTCATCAAATTTATTTACTATTTCACAGACTCGTAAATCGTATCTGCCAATACCTACAGCCTCACAGGGATAGACGACTTCTCAGGACTTATGTCTGAACTAATAAATAAATTGCACGGCGCTTAACATAACGTTAAATCGTCGATGTTCAAAACTTATTTTTGAAAATATTATTCATATCTGCAATACAATGTGCGCTTACCAGTTTTCTCAGTAATTCAGCTAGCAATTCTCGTGCTGTGTTCAAAGAGACGTTTACAGTGAGGGGCAAACTTAAGAAAAACGGACTATAGATTGGAGTTGTCCAGAAAAACTGCAGATATATTTGTCTTCTCTGGACGAGCTTATTGGTGCTTGTCAGCTCACCAACGGTGCCACCCCGGATGAGATTGACGAAGCAATTACACGATGCATACATATCGCTGCGCGAATCGCCGGATGCTCCAAGTCGCGACGTCCCCCGAAGCCCTGGTGGTCGCCTGATGTGGCAGTGGCGCGGGATCGCACTCGTTTCTGGCATCAGATATGGGTAAACTGTGGCCGTCCTACCCTCTCAGCAGTGGCACAGTGTTATCAGGCTGCAAGATCTGCTTACCGTCACGCCCGCAGACGTGCAGCAGTGACGCGGATCGAGAGCGAGGCCCACACTCTCCGACTGCTGCGCCGTGACAAAAATCTGACAGCCTTCTGGCGACGTGTGCAACAGATACGGCGTAATGGACTCAAGTCGGCCTCTGATCTATCCGCCGCCGACTTCCGCACCCACTTCCAGACTGTGCACCAAGATAGTCACAGGCAACTGACTCTGGACCAGCTCCAAATTGCTGAACATGTAGATTCTCGACTAAGGAGAATCCGTAACGATGCATCCGAAAGAACGGTTTCAGCTGGACAGTAGCAGGCCTCATTCACCGGTTACAGCGTGGGAAGGCACCTGGTATAGACGGCATCACGGCGGAGCACCTTCTCTATGGTCAGTCGCCTTGTCTCCTGTCAGCTCTGGCGCACCTTCTCTCTGTCTGCCTATCCACGTGTAGCGTGCCAGCTACCTTCGCTGACAGCGTTATTGTACCCGTGTTGAAGAAATCTCAATCGGACCCTAACTGCTTGGACAACTATCGACCGATTTCAATCACAACCTGCGCATCTAAGCTGCTCGAGCTGTTAGTGCTAGACGAACTGAACGCCTCATTTGAACCTCATCATCTGCAGTTTGGTTTTATCTCCAATCGGGGCACCATGCAAGCGTCTCTGTTGGCTGGAGAGACCATACAGCAGAATCGAGCCAGGGGTCTTCCTGTTTTTGTCGCAAACCTTGACGCGAGGAAATGCTTTGACCGAATATGGCATGACGGTCTGTTCTTCCGTCTGGAAGATTATCTTAGCGACTACTGCTGGTGCCTCATGGTCACCTGGTACCGCCACCTCTCTGCAAGGGTGACTTTTGGTGGCGCCACATCTGAAGCGTTCCTGGTCTGCAGGGGCACCAGACAAGGGGCCATCTTATCGCCAACCCTTGCAAACATCTTCCTCTTACCTCTTATTGAGGTCCTAGATCGCAGCGGTCGTGGAGCATATCTACACAGCCAGCACGTACCCGCTATCTGCTACGCTGACGATATTCTCCTTATATCTGCGAACGCGCGTGACCTCGGTGCAATGCTGCAGATGGTGGGAGAATTCGCGGCTACTTGGCGCCTCGACTTCGTTCACCCTGAACCGGGAAAAACCAAGAGCCATTGTATTATATTTGGACAGGAACTATTCACGAGCACACCGAGGTGGACACTGTCAGGACAGCAGCTGCAGATCCGGCAGACGACCGAGCACCTCGGTACGGTGCTTGATGACAACCTCAGCACAGACAGCCACGTGGCTCAGCGCATCAGGCGTGCTTGTGCATCATTCTATGGCCTCACACCCCTGGGCAATTTCACCAACCGCCTGACTGCTGCTGACAAAATCTTCCTCTGGAAGACAGTAGTGCTGCCGGCACTGATCTTCGGCTGTGAGACGGCTCCCCTCAGTTCCGCCGACATTGAGCGTCTAGACTCGCGACAGGCTTCGCTGATCAAGGCAGCGCTGGGTCTGCCGCGTTCTGCGCACCACACGGCTCTTTTGATTGCTGCTGGGGTGCCTCGCATCGGTGAGGTGCTGCGAGGTGATGCCCTTCGCGCATTCCGTAATGCTTTCCGCGCTGACCACCGTCTTCGCCAAGCCTACGTCACTGGACTGGCCAGACTTGCTACGTACCCCGATCAGTTGGATGCAGGGTTGTATACGACTCAATCGATAGCAATCAATTCAATCACGACAAATTTGGGAAACCAATCAAATCAATCAAGTCAGAGCAGTTTTCGGGAATTGATTCAATCGACTCAAACGCGACAATGAAAGGAATCAATCAACTCAATCAAACGACTCAAACCAAGACATACATTAGGTTTTTTTGCCCCACCAACTTGGAAAAGTGTCCATAGCAGTCTGGTGTACCTACCTACCTGCCTATACCTACCTACCTACAGAAGAAACATAAAAATATTGTCATTTAAAATTATAAATTGCCATGCCATTCAAAGTTTCTAATTTCTATGTAATAAGGAAGGATACCTAGTGATGGACAGGTGGATCATGATATTGAGGTTCAATGGATAGAATTGGAGCAGAAGTTTCATTATGGGTGCAAAATAACCCAGTAGTTGACTTCAACAAACTGAAACGCCCCTTAACCCAAATGACCACCTTTCACCTAAAAGTTGTCAATTTAATTTTGGCCATATTCCAGCTAAGTCATCAGGCCATCTACCCCATGTAAAGCCCCTGTCTGTCTCTTATGTGAGTTATGCGGAGCTCCTCTGAATTGAACCCTGAACATAATGAACCTAGCTAGGTTTCACGCCACACTGACACCATATGAAAGTGTTGAAAATGTCAATGTGCTACAAATTTGACAACTTCATTAGGTATGCTTTATGAAGACAGCCGGAAAGCAGGTAGGTACCTACTTACCCCCTAGATGTGTCACCGGCTACCAACAGTACCAACGAAGGTAGATAGGTTATGTGTGAAGAATTCAAAACATTTTATTGCAATACAATTTGAAACTGTTAGGACTGGGGGATAGGGATGAGCATCAAAAATATATTTAAAAGGAAATGGAGAGGACAGGGACTCTGGAACCACAGGATAAGTTAAGGACAAAGGAAGAAGAAAAAAGAAAATTAAAACGCGAAAACGGCACGGTGCGACTGCGAAAAAACAAAGAAAACGTTTTGCCAATAAGTATGCTAAGCATTTATAAATCCTTATTCTACGTCTTTTGATTTTTTGGTAAGATGACGTCATTGATTATCATGTAGTATGGTAGATCATCATAAAATAAATCGGTTGTACAACACCAATTTCGTTTTAATTATTATTTCATTTGAAATAAAACCACTTAATAATATTCGGTAAAATATTTTAACCCGCGCCCTGGTGGGGTCTGTTTATAACGCGACCTGGTGGGGTGGGGGGCTATTTTTTGCCCCCCCTCGTATCTCCGAAACTACTTGACGGATCCTCAAAATTCAAACGGCGTTCGAAAGGCCTGTCAAATTTGTCGAGGGAAACCAAATTTCATTGACCTCGGGGTCACCGATGACGTCACAGGTCAGGTCAAAGATGACATGTTTCACCGTTCACGGGTCATCTATAGTAGGGAATCTATGTAGGGAATGCGCTATAACACCGAAGAAAACGCATTTTGTCGAGAATCAGCGATAGGGCGTCAGTTGCCTAGTACATATGTTGCTATAAGAGGTCACTGACAATACCAGGTCAGGTCACAGGTCAGGTCACCAAGGGTCAGAGCCCAGAGGTCAGGTCACATGAACCTAACATTAGGTACTAAGGTTGTGCGATGCATGTTTTATGGCCAATTTTTCATTTCCAACTCAATGGTGTTGGTTATAAGACTATCAGGTACTGCTTAGGTCACTTTCTGGTGAAGGTCAGGTCAAGGTCAGGTCAAGAAAGGTCAAATTTTAAAGTTGATAGTTTTGCATAAAATGGGTATTGATTCGATGCAGCTCGTCACGGGGAGTCTAATGGTGGTCTTTGTTTTGCGCTACGGTGTCTAGAATTGCTAAAAATTGAGTTTGAAAATATGACGTCATCAATTTTGAACAGTTTTTTCGCTATAACTTCGCCAGAAAATGAGGTATCAATCTCAAATTTGGTATGTGGATAGAAGGTGGTAAGGACTATCATATATATTCCGGTTTTTGCGAAACTCCAAAAACTTTTTGGATTTTTCGGCTATTATATTCAAAAAATCTATTTTTTTATTTTTGGGGGTCAAAATCCAAAAATTTCGAAAATCCGAGATAGCAGTTTTGTAGCCCTGTCAATTTTACATCTTTTATGTCTTAATCGTTTTTCTGTATTTGCAAAGCTATAGGCCTGACAGCTCTTCCCGCGAAACCCTTTTTTTAGTCGAAAACGGCAGAACATGACGTCACTCTGACGTCATTTCCAGCCAACCTATCATAGCCTTTGGAAAAATTTTTGGTCACGATGTGTAAAATTGATGTCCGAGAGGGTACTGAAAGTTTGGTGGCGATCGGCGCAGCGGTTCTGGAGATATATCGAAAAGTCTGGAGGGGGGGCAAAAAATAGCCCCCCCCCCCCACCAGGGCGCGGGTTAAGGAAAATGAAATATATTAAATATGTTATGCTTAGGCTCTCAGGAGAAAAGGATCAACAAACGTTCTGCTGCAAATTGAACAATGCAGCAAATTAGTAAACGTAATTAGCGAGACGAAAACGGCGCTTTTGTTTCAGTTATTTTTGTAGGGGTTTCAGATATTTATAGAGTTCAGTGGGTTGTTTCTGAGGAGACGTGGAGATGTGAATTATTAATTAATCACACTTTATTAGTATAAAGGGCCGGGGACCCGCAGTTGCTACTGTACAGCGACCCTGAGTAAATTGTCCCAGCACCCTCACAGGGAACAACGAAAAGCTGTCAGAGGGCACGCACAGAAAACCTCAGCTGCTCTTTTACACGGACCGACAGTCGATATCAATGTTATCGGTCGTTACTGGACAGGACAGACGGCTAGAGTTAGGGTTCGTGTACAGAAGCAACTGCGGGTCCCCGGCCTTGCACTTTATCATCTGGATTAAAAAAAAAAAGTTTCCTGCTGAGTGCAGAAAGGTAGGTAGGTGCATCACCAGGTTCTGTCACCAGGATTGGAGCAGTTATTGCAGTTGAAAGTCAAAGTTGGCTGTTCATGTTTAGGCCCTGTTCTTTATTTGGCCATCTACCCCATATTGCAGTTGTGATGACAAGCAGTTTTCAGTGTAGTTTTGTGATCTTTGATGTCATCAATTGGTGTCATTATTTTTCGTCAACTAAAACTTATTTGAACTTTCCATTCAATCGACTCAATCATACGAGTCACTTTAATTTTCGGGAATCAAATCAGTCAACCAGTCGCTAAAGTCAAACGAGTCAGTCAACCAGTCATCTCGAAAAGTCAATCGACTCAATCCAATCAACTCAAAATACGCGTTGAATCAAATCAATCAATTCAATCGATTTGATTGGTATACAACCCTGGTTGGATGGGTCGTTTATTGGCCACGTATATAATCTGTGTGGTGGGAATTTCGGCGCTATCATGCACATCGCTGCTGGGTACGTCGATTACGACATAGTCCGGGCACCACTCCAAGAAAGCGGTCTTATAGACAGTTTGAAGAAGGTTTTGGCAAGCAACTGTCAGGCCTCGCGGCGCCTGTTAAGACTACTAACCTCCTGAGTGCTGATTAACTGTGTGTGTGGGTGGGTGGGGGGGGGGGTATGTATCTTTTTGTCGCATGACGATGCTGAATAAACAATAATAATAATAATAAAAACGTATGGTGATGGGTTGCCAGCAGTCTAGTTATTTTCTGCATAAAGCTATGCACAAAGTACTAGGTGATATCCCTGGTGTGTACATATATGCTGATGACGTGCTATGTGTGAGTGACGGACTAGATTCCCATTATAAGTTGCTGAACACTGTGCTGAGCAAGCTGAGAGAGGCAGGTTTCAAATTAAGCCCCGCGAAATGTAAATTTGGTGTTTCCCGTCTCGATTATCTCGGTCATCAGATCACACCAGACGGCATCTCCATCTCACCGGAGCGTATTGAATGCATTCAAAACCTCCAACCACCGCCGACCACTAAGGAAGCGAAGAAGCTTTATGGTTTTTTCTCTTGGTTCCGGAAATTTGTCGAGTCGTTCTCCACTATTTCGAAACCACTGATAGACCTAGCAAATTCGTCGTCATTTTATTGGAACGAGGAACTTGAGCAGACATTCATTCAGCTACGCGCGGCCTTGTTGAACAGCCCGGTTTTGGCTTATCCGAGACAAGGTGATTGCTTCATTCTATATAGCGACTCGAGCATGACTGGGTCAGGCCACGTACTGACGCAGATGCAGAACGGCCAGGAGAGAGTTATTGCCTTCAACGGCAGCAAATACAATAGACAGCAACGAAATTGGACCATTTATGAGTTAGAGGTGTACTCATTCATGCAGGGGCTGCGCCGTTTTTACAAATTCTTATCTGGAGAGAAATTTATCTGGCGATGCGGCTGTAAAAGCGCCTTGAAAATCTTGTCAAATCGAGACAACATGAATCCGCGTCTTGCTCGATGGCGCTCATTCATTGGACAGTTCAATTTCACAGTTGAGCATAAACGTGCTTCAGAGATGCAACACGTAGACTTTCTATCTAGGCTTCATGAAAATGACCCTGAACGTGATGACGTTCAAACGGACCATCAGCCCGCGAGCAGCTCGAACAGTGCGGTGGCGCCACCGGCGCTAAGCGCTGAGGCGACCGCACCAGTTCTAAGGGGCCAGCAGCCCGCGAGCAGCTCGAACAGTGCGGTGGCGTCACCTATGCAAAAAGCTGAGGCGACCGCCGCGACACCTGCAGGGCACGGTCACTCTGATTCGGCCCAGCATCTGCTGACTGACAGTGGAGATGCGCCGGAGCTTGACTCGATCCGCCTTGGGCAGCGACCACACAGACCCGGTGAGTCTGTGCCTTTGACCGGTGACAGGTCACAGGCAAAGTTGGTTCAGAGCGCGGGTACTATGACAGATAACAACCAAAACGACAGTGGTGATGCCTTTGACGATGACCAATTCGTTAATTTTGTCGCCACAGATTGCATCGCGGACATAGATATTGATCCGGCAGCACTAATATGGTACCAAAAGCATGATACGTATTGCCGCGCTTTGGCCTTTCGAATCAGTAGGGGTAAGTGGCCAAAGTACTGCCCTCCGGCGTTGAAGCGTGAAAATGCCGCTCAATTTCAGTTTGTGAATGGCATTTTATGCCGTTGCATTCCCGGTGCCGAGCATATGCAAGTGGTCTGGCCGGTCGCCAAACGTTTTGAAATTTTGTACAGGCACCACGATACTTCATTCGGATCTCACTGCGCCGGGGAAAAGCTTTATGAGGTCGTATCTCGACGGATCTGGTATCTGGGCCTTCGAAAGGACTGCCAAAATTACGTGGCTAGCTGTGCCCGGTGTAGTGCTAAGAAAGATGACCGTGGCCCACCGCCACCTCCTCTTTTGCCACAGCAGCCGGCCGGTCCAGGAGATGAGCTGGTCGTTGATGTAGTGCATATGCCAGCTAGCCGTATATCAGGTAGAACGCTGGTTCTAACATGCATTGACAAGTTCACCGGCTTTCTGACGTTTTATCCCCTCCAGTCCGGCTCAGCAGACGATGTGGTCCACGCACTCTCCACTCAGTTTCTCATGTTCGGCCCACCGCGCCGTCTCGAATGTGACGCCGGTAGCAACATGAAAAGCGGGAAGGTTCGCCGTTTTTGTCATTTTTGGGGAACAGAGCTCAGAAGCGCGGTCGGGGGGACACCATGAAGGAATCGGAAAGGTAGAGAGACGTCACCGTGATATAAAGCGTAGACTGCGAACGCTTTCAGACGACTTTGGCGTAGACTGGGAGACACATTTGCCGGGAGTTGTGTTAAATCACGAAATGTCTGAAAGTCATAAATATTCTCCGTTCTTTTTGTTTTACCTCAGGCATCCCAATTCTCCCATCGACCGACTAGTTTCCCAGACGATCTCGCCGTATTCCGGGGACTTTGTGGAAGAGAAACTCAGGCTCCTTTCCAGAACACTGAAACGGGCTCGCGACAATTCACTGACCTCGCAGCAGAAACAAAAGGCCAGATATGATTTGAGACGCGGGGTTAGAGAGCCATTTATTAAACCCGGCGATCAAATTAGAGTTAAAACCCAGAGTTACCGACCGGGAGTCTCAGTGAAAATGGTCCCTCCGTGGTCACCGATTTTCGTGGTAGTTAGGTGGATTAGCAGACGTCATCTGGAATGCATGGACCCTGCTACAGGCCGAATGTGGACGACACATGTAAAGTTCGTTAAGCCGGTCACGGAAAGAACAGTTTAGTTCAACGATGTACACGACGTGACATCGTTTAACGACAAACGGTGATGCCGTTCGTTTCCACCGTTACATGTGAACATTATGTTTAGTGTATCGCCCATGTATGTTATTGTGCTTGTTGAATTGCTGTATTATAGGTAGCTGTATGTGGTGCTAAGAAAGAGTCGCTTTATTCCAGTGAACTGCTGCCTTATCTTGCGGGAGACAAGCAGGAGGAGATAATGTGAACGTTTATGTTCGACCCGTGAGTGCGAGCTGGGTACGCCTCTGCCATCGGAGCGGCGCGGGGCGCGGTCGTGGCCGGAGTCAGCTGTTACAAGGGGTGTGGGTCACGGGCCAAGACCAAATACACAGATGGGTATCGACTCTCGGTGTGTGTGGACCGCGGTCGTACGTGCGGCGTTCAAGGAAGTTTCACAAACAGCATTGGTGCGGAAGCTCAGCAAGACAGAGGGAAGACGGCTCAACAGGTTCTCCCCCGGGCTCAGGTACTCATTTAGGCTCCTCCCGGTGGCATCAGGAGCGGACCCGTCGAAGACCACTCTCAATTTATCACCCCGGACAACACCCCGGTGCGGCAGGAAGAAGGCGTCATCAGGGTCATCTGTGAGAGGAGCATCCTCAACCACACCGTTCGCAATCAACTCGGAGATATGACGATCATACCTGTCGAGCTCATCGGTACTCATCTTGGAGACCAGCCGTCGGGTGCGTAGCTCCGTAGACGCCAGGTTGGAGGCCGGCCTGTTGTCCGACTTCCAGAGCAGACCCATCTCGTAGCGCTGTTCCTCTGGGTTCCAGGTCGGCTCAGGTGGCACCTCGTCTGCAGTCTCCTTCGCCGAGATTCCCACGGCGTCCAGGCTCCACATCCTCTCCACGTCGGCCAACTGACAGCGGTAGACGCGCCTCTGTCCGGTCTGCTGGTTCTGTGCCTGCCCATGAAGAACATGACCAAACACCGTCTCAATCAGGCGCAGTCCGGGCCCAACCTCCTTTTGGTCCCACATCACAACCTGGTAGATCTGATCACACCCGATCAACAGATCCACAGGCCCCTCACGGTAGTCGTCAGCGAGCACGACACTTGGGGGCAGCGACAGGTTCTCAGGCAGGCTGTACGTCCCAACAGGTACACACAGGCGATCAGTTTTCCAAAAAGACAGTGTGGCCTCACCTCCTTGTCTGCCAGTCAACTTAACTGACACTCGGTCGTAGACTCTGGCCTCCTCAGTCCTCTCCAAGAACCCGACGCAGGCGAAGACTCCCTGCTCCTCAGTCTCCAGGCCCAACTTCTCTGCTAGAGACGACCTGATGAACGAAGAGTCAGAGCCTCCATCGATGAGTGCGCGCACCTGGCACACACCTCCCGGTCCACTGACCTCTACCAACACGGTCTGAACAAAGCAGCTGCTCTGAGCGTTCACATTGTAAAGGCGCTTACCCTCACCAGGGCTGGTGGCTTGGCAGGGCGGCTGGACGGCAGCTGCGCTGGGCGACTGGACGGACGGGCCGACGGCAGAGGCGTGCCCAGTCACTTCACCTCCAGGCGGCAGCTCAACAGGTGCTCTCCCTGTCCACGTTGGCGTCTGACTGTCCTGGAAGGTCAGATGGTCAGGCCACCCAGGCGACCATGCAGAAGCAGCAGCAGGCGCTGTACACGTTACAGCGTGCATCGAGCGGTCAACAGCACGAGGCGGGTGGGGCACAGCAGGCGACGGACGAGCAGTGCCCTGGCGTGCAGGTGCAGCAGGCAGGCGCACAGGGGCAGCAGACATGTGCACAGGGGCAGCAGGTGGGCGCACAGAGGCAGCAGATGGGCGCACAGGGGCAGCAGACCCTCTCGCATCATGCAGAGATGAGTGGTGAGCCTCACCGCACCTGGGACATGCAGAGCTCGTGCACACTCGCATCATGTGAGGCCCCAGACACTGATAGCACAGGCCCTCCAGTCTGACAGCCCTCCAGCGTGAGGCAACATCCATGCTCCTGTAAGTGGGGCATGCAGAGAGGCCATGCCTCCCATTCTGGCACACTCCACAAACCCAGCCAGCCCTGCCTGACCTGCCTTGTATCCTGAGGACACTGGTGGCTGACCTCGCTGATCTCGGCTGGGACGGCTGACTCTGGTGAACAGCTGGGCTGGCGGCTGGTGTCCCTTGTGCAGCTGCATCCTCTCTCATCTGCACCTCCTTCTGCAGAAACTGCAGGAAGTCTGGGAGGTTCTCGGAGAAAATGGAGAAGATGGGCATCCCTGGCTGCGCCACGCGGTGGGTGAAGGCCCTGCTCACGGATAGGCGTGCTCGTGTCAGGTGGGGAAACGCCCGCTCATCACAGCGCGTCTTCCAAGAGGGCCTCCCGCAGGGCAGCGTGATGGCGCCGCTACTGTGGCTGATCTATTGCAATGACCTCGATGAAGACATCAACACCAACACCACCCGCTCTCTCTACGCGGACGATACCGCCCTCCTGGCTACTGGACGTTCGCTGCAGGCGTGCGCCGACCAGCTGCAACCGGATCTGGACCAAGTCGCCCGCTGGCTGGACAAGTGGAAGGTCGAGGCCAGCCCAAGCAAGTGCGTCTTCACCACCTTCTCGCTACACGCCAAGGAGGTCAACGGAAAGGCCGTCCCGACACTGACCTTCAAAGGCGACCAGCTCGCGCACGAGAAGAACCCGACCTTCCTGGGGCTGACCCTGGACAGCCAGCTCACTTTCACCAACCACATCGAGGAAGTGAAGAAGAGGATGGCACAGCGCCGACGCTGTCTGACAGCTCTGGCGGGCAGGTCATACGGCAGTGACCAAGCCACGCTGCGTGCGGCCTACATCGCGTACATCCGCAGCGTGGCCGACTACGGAGCTGCCCTCTACTCCACTCACGCTGCACCCTCCGTGCGGGCCCGGCTCGAGGCAGAGCAGCACAAGTGCGCCAGAGTGATCACTGGCTGCATCCGCCTCACAAACTCGGAGACCCTCATCACCGAGGCCGGCCTGCCACCACTCGCAGTGAGAGGCAGGGAAATAGCAGCAATGGAGCAGGAGCGACTCGCCAGACTGCCGCCAGGAGACCCCGCCAGAGCCCTCACCGAGCGACACGTCCGCCCACGCCTCAAGCACAGGGCTCATGAGGCCTGGCAGCGAGCGCGCACTGAGGCCAGAAGACGCGGCGAACCGCCGCCGGACCCCCCGAGCGAGGACACGGCGCTGCCCTTCAAACCGTGCTTCCGGCGGGTCAGTCAGTGGATGGCCAAGGAGGCGGGTCTAGCGGACCTCCCACGGGAACCGCTGGCCCTGGTCCCGGAACAGCCGCCGTGGACCAATCCAGCAGACGCGGTCACCTTCCGCCTCTCCCTCCCGCGCGCCAACAGAAGAGACGACCCACCCGCCGTGAGGAAAGCTGCCGCCCTCGAGGCGATAGCCATGGTCAACCCGGACTGCACCATCTGGTCCGACGGCTCCGCCAAGTCCGGCACCAGGGACGGAGGCGGCGGTGCGCTGATCCAGCTGCACCGGGAGAACCGCGAAGTGGAGACATTGGTGCCGGCGGGCTCGGTCTGCAGCAGTATGCGGGCCGAACTCGCAGCGATGTTGGCGGCGTTCACCTGTCTGCTGGCACAACCGGGGGAGACCAGGAGCCGCATCAAGACATGTCTGCTGTGCACCGACTCCCTCTCCGGCCTTCAGCTACTCCAACGCGGACCGGAGGCCCAGCAGCTGGTCCTCGCCGAGCGCGTCTGGGCCGCGATGGACTCACTGGGGGAACAGAACACGGCCATCATCCTCCAGTGGGTCCCAGGCCATGCCGACATCGCCGGCAACGAGGCGGCAGACAGGCTGGCTAACCGTGCGGCGGCCGAGTATGCCCAATCGGAGACGCCCATCGATCTGGCCAGCGCCCGAACCGCCATACGGCAGCGCGCCAGGGAAATGCAGGCCACGCGTGCACACCGGCACCCGCACCCCCAGCCCACGCCTGGACTCCAATACCTCCCGCGCTGGGGGCAAGTGACCGTGTCGCAGTTGCGGACCGGCTACTGCCCCCTGGCACGAGCGACGCTCCACCGCCTGGAGCTCACCCCGGACCCTCTCTGCCGGGAGTGCGGTGCCGAGGACACCGTTCGCCACCTTCTCACCGAGTGCCCAGCATTCGCCACCACGAGACGCCGGCTCGGGGGGGGGGCCCTGCCATCCCTTGACGAGGTCCTTTCCGGGCCGGCCGGCAAGATAGTCGACTACATTCGGCGGGTGGGGCGGTCCGAGCCGCCGCTCGACCAGCCCCCGTCCGACGCGCCTGCGGGCGCGTCCACGTGACGTGCGAAGAGAAGAAGAAGAAGGTTCTCGGAGACACCACCCTGCGCTCTCATCCACTGCAGCTTCCACGTCTCTGGGACACAGGACTTCAGCACAGGCATGAGAAGCACAGAAAACGACTCAGCAGTCACACCCATCGTCTCCAGTGCACGAACATCAGACACCAAACCATCCACCATCTGACGCAGCTGCAGAAGGTCATGGTCATCAGGGACATAGCGAGTGTTCAACAGTCTCTGCATCAGTGACTCCCTCAGCAGGTCCGGACGGTCAAACCTCTCCTGTAGGTTTCAATGGCCCTGACATATCCAGCATCAGTCAACGGCAGTCCCTGGATAGCTGCATGCGCCCTCCCAGTCAGGCACAGTTTCAAGTTTACAAACTCTTCCACTGGGGAACAAGCTCTGTTATCATGAACAGCAGTTTTGAACAGGTTCCAGAACTCAGGCCATGTGTCAACTGCTCCATCAAACTTAGGCAGCTTTAGCTCAAGTTTAAAAGCACTCTGGCGCTCATGCAGTACTGGAGCAGAAGCTACTCCCCTCTCGAGCCTGGCTAGAACACGCTTAGCCTTGAAGAGACCATCATACGCATCCTGCATGTGTGAGCTATCATCCTCAATCCCATGTTTGTCAAGTTCACATTGTAGCTGTAGCATATGCTCATAATGCATCTCGAGGTGGTGAATGCGTAGGGCCAGCTCATCCTCCTGCGACTGATCACTGGCAGAGAGGTCACGCAAAAGTCTGGTTACCTTACCTCTGGCTAAGGTTCGCTTCTGGCGCAGTTCACTTTCCTCCATCACAGCTCTTGACAGAAACACTCAAATCTTGAACCCAGTAAACATGCCGACGTCGGCCCGACGTCGGGCCGAGGCTCGGCCCGACGTCGGCCCAACGTCGGTTCAACCTCGGCCCGACATCGGCTGGACGTCGGATATGCCCGCATGTTCCGACGTCCAGCCGAAGTCCAGCCGACGTCGGGCCGAGGTCGTTTGCCGAGGTTGACGAGATCGTTTGTCGTTGGACCGACGGGGCCGACGTCGGCATGTTTATTGGGACAACGCGCCAAAAATATCAACCGGCGGCGGGATTCGAGCCCCCCAGTCGCCGACGTCGGCATGTTTACTGGGACAACACGCCAAAAGCATCGGCCGGCGATGGGATTCGAACCTCGTGTCATTTGAACGCGAAGTTAGTGCGCTAACCACCACACCACGCAGCCAGATAGCGAATGTAGTTTGTTTTATTGGGTTATGCCCTTTCGGTCTGACAAGACCATTTCAGAGCCGGAAGGATGATAGGATGGAGACATTGGTCTTCTTGGCGAGCACCCCGGGTCTAGAGTCCCTGGTCCCATTGCTGTTACGTGACACTTATTGGAAAGAGCGACTCCACAATGGATTCATATAGCAACTCTTACACACCTGCACCAACGTTTCCCAAAGTGTCCCTTTGATAAGTGGCACTTTGGCAAAGTGACACTTGCCGACTGGCCTTTCTATATGAACTGGGCCCGGCCCTGGTGAGTTGCCGGGGCTGAGCCTGACCAAAGGATAGGCCGAGCAGCCCCCAAGCACTCACCGCACCCGGCTACGGGCGAGCTCGGCTTACGGGCAATCCCAATTGGGATAAAGTTTCCCGTCCAGTCCGGATCAGGGGGTTGCGGCGTGGAGGAAGATTTGAGTTTCCTGTGGATATTTTGAATACAGAAGCTCTTTATGAAACATAAAACATGTATTTTATATTATTTTAACGGTCAAAACAGCGGCCGATGTCGGTCCGACGTCGCCCCGACGTCGGCCCGATGTCGGCTGGACCTCAGCAATTGATCTCGGTCCGACGTCGGCCCGACGTCGGCTAGACCTCGGCTGGACGTCGGTACATGCGGGCATATCCGACATCCAGCCGACGTCGTGCCGAGGTTGGACCGACGTCGGGCCGACGTCGGCATGCCGATGCCGAGTTGCCGACGTCACCCCGACGTCGGCCGACGTCGGGCCGACGTCGGCATGTTTACTGGGGAAGGCACAATCTCAATCTCAAAATCAAAATCTCAATCAAAATCAAAGCAAAGAACAACCAACAGCAAATCTTGATCCGGCCAGCGGAGGACTATGTGGTGAATTAACAATAAAAATAGCCGGTTCGTTGTCAAGAAAGAGATGAATTGATTTTACTTTATATTCTCTTCGGCGGCGGCGGCGACTCCCAACACTCTCAACACGTGGCGGCGCCACGAACACGACGGCAGATAGGGCGGAACTCAACCACGAGGACGAAACGGTGGCGAAATCAACTCGGTTTATACAGCGCAATGTGAAGGATCCAGGACGGGCTACCAGACAGAGGATACTTTAAAAGTCGGAAAGGAAACTAGTATAGGCACGGGGAGGATAAAGGAAAAGGGCTCGAACACACTAACCTAACCTAACCTAACCTAACCTAACCTAACCTAACCTTACCTAACCTAACCTAACCTAACCTAACCTAAACCTAACCTAAACCTAACCTAACCTAACCTAACCTAACCTAACCTAACCTAACCTAACCTAACCTATTTTATTTTAACCGATTATTCGTAATTTTCCTCTCACACCGAGTGGAAACTCACACTGTGAGTTTCCTCTTGTTGTGTTCCACTCACAGTCTCACAGTCAATATGATTCGCCGAATTTGCCGATGGTACCTTGTTTGGATTTGGTGAGTTGGTTGAGAGGAAAATTGAGAATAAGGCAGCTGACATTCCAATTAGCAGATGGGCCGAGTGATTTTTCAATCAAACCATTCGAAAGCATGGTTTGTTTCGGAACTGAGCTTCGTCGATCACTGTGAATGGCATTTGCCGAATTTGCCGATGATGAAAACGTGTTCGGTTTTTGGTCTCAGGCTTTGCCATAATTTGTTCGACGCCTAATATGAAATAATGAGCGTGTAGGACACTCTATCATGTACGGAAACCGCGTCAGTCAGAGTTGCTAGATTACTTCCTTATTCTACAAAAATCAGTCAAAGTTGACAGGGTAACGAAGCCTTTTAATGTACGCATGTGGCAGGTCACCAATAATCGCAATAATAGCTTGAGCTGTGACACCCAGTTAGTTTGGTGAGTTGGTGAGAGGAAAATTGAGAATAAAGCAGCCGACACTCCCATCAGCAGATGGGCTGAGAGATTTTTCAGTCAAACTATTCAAACACAGTTTGTTTCGGAACTGAAATTTGCCGATCACCGCCAATGGGCTTTGCCGACTTTGCCGATGGTAAATGAGCGTGTTTGGTTTTTGGTCACCTAATATGACACCTAATATGAAATAAAGGGTGTGTAGGGCAATCGAATCTATGCCGATCTAATGTCAGGCAGTGCCGATAAAACGTAAGCTGCTACTGAGTTATACCCTGCACTTTATACCTATGCGCACGACACCAGACACAAAAAATAGTGTGATAACAAAGGGCTCTCTCTAGCCTTATCGTTCAGTGAATGCAATGTAGGTTACAGCACGTCTTGATACATAAATTTGCTATAATATTTTGAAAACTACACGTTATTATGTTGCACTGACTAGCATAGAGAGAAGTTTCAGTACAACACTGTTTCGGCGTAATAACTTAGCGCTCAGTGGCGTGCGGGCTGGCTGAGACACGATCACCAGTCTAATGTTCTGCTGTTAAGTATCTTTATCCTAATCAGAAATGCTTTATGTCCACAGGACCTTCAGCCAAGACAAATGGCTATGAGATTTTCGATACTGCACCCTTCCGTCGTAGGCTGCTAGGGATTCATACCTACACTTCACTCTATACTCGAGCGCACGTCGCCAGGCATCAACAATAGGGTCCAATCATAGAGCTAGTTGTGGTCTTATCTGTCATCGACTGAACTATAGTTAACTGCAGTCTGCACCTCTAGCCATTTCAATTATTTATGATATTTTGATGCCACACCGCGCACGTAATTATCTTGAACCGTTAGGCTGATTATCCTCCTCCTCCCCCCTCCGGGAGACGATTGCAAGGATCAGCGCGTCGCTGACGGCGCTGTAATCACGTGATGAAGCGGCCCCATTGGAGCGCTGAGAATATAGCCAGCTCCAGGCATGGGCGTCGCCACCACTACGGACACTACGGACAGTGTCCGTACAAGTTTTGGAAGGCCCGAAAACTTGTACGGAATGTCCGTACAAGTTTCGACGACTGCAAAGCAGCAGGGTTGTATACCAATCAAATCGATTGAATTGATTGATTTGATTCAACGCGTATTTTGAGTTGATTGGATTGAGTCGATTGACTTTTCGAGATGACTGGTTGACTGACTCGTTTGACTTTAGCGACTGGTTGACTGATTTGATTCCCGAAAATTAAAGTGACTCGTATGATTGAGTCGATTGAATGGAAAGTTCAAATAAGTTTTAGTTGACGAAAAATAATGACACCAATTGATGACATCAAAGATCACAAAACTACACTGAAAACTGCTTGTCATCACAACTGCAATATGGGGTAGATGGCCAAATAAAGAACAGGGCCTAAACATGAACAGCCAACTTTGACTTTCAACTGCAATAACTGCTCCAATCCTGGTGACAGAACCTGGTGATGCACCTACCTACCTTTCTGCACTCAGCAGGAAACTTTTTTTTTTTAATCCAGATGATAAAGTGCAAGGCCGGGGACCCGCAGTTGCTTCTGTACACGAACCCTAACTCTAGCCGTCTGTCCTGTCCAGTAACGACCGATAACATTGATATCGACTGTCGGTCCGTGTAAAAGAGCAGCTGAGGTTTTCTGTGCGTGCCCTCTGACAGCTTTTCGTTGTTCCCTGTGAGGGTGCTGGGACAATTTACTCAGGGTCGCTGTACAGTAGCAACTGCGGGTCCCCGGCCCTTTATACTAATAAAGTGTGATTAATTAATAATTCACATCTCCACGTCTCCTCAGAAACAACCCACTGAACTCTATAAATATCTGAAACCCCTACAAAAATAACTGAAACAAAAGCGCCGTTTTCGTCTCGCTAATTACGTTTACTAATTTGCTGCATTGTTCAATTTGCAGCAGAACGTTTGTTGATCCTTTTCTCCTGAGAGCCTAAGCATAACATATTTAATATATTTCATTTTCCTTAACCCGCGCCCTGGTGGGGGGGGGGCTATTTTTTGCCCCCCCTCCAGACTTTTCGATATATCTCCAGAACCGCTGCGCCGATCGCCACCAAACTTTCAGTACCCTCTCGGACATCAATTTTACACATCGTGACCAAAAATTTTTCCAAAGGCTATGATAGGTTGGCTGGAAATGACGTCAGAGTGACGTCATGTTCTGCCGTTTTCGACTAAAAAAAGGGTTTCGCGGGAAGAGCTGTCAGGCCTATAGCTTTGCAAATACAGAAAAACGATTAAGACATAAAAGATGTAAAATTGACAGGGCTACAAAACTGCTATCTCGGATTTTCGAAATTTTTGGATTTTGACCCCCAAAAATAAAAAAATAGATTTTTTGAATATAATAGCCGAAAAATCCAAAAAGTTTTTGGAGTTTCGCAAAAACCGGAATATATATGATAGTCCTTACCACCTTCTATCCACATACCAAATTTGAGATTGATACCTCATTTTCTGGCGAAGTTATAGCGAAAAAACTGTTCAAAATTGATGACGTCATATTTTCAAACTCAATTTTTAGCAATTCTAGACACCGTAGCGCAAAACAAAGACCACCATTAGACTCCCCGTGACGAGCTGCATCGAATCAATACCCATTTTATGCAAAACTATCAACTTTAAAATTTGACCTTTCTTGACCTGACCTTGACCTGACCTTCACCAG